GCAGCGGCGTTCCCCTGGTCTGGCGGGCGGCAGCGTGCGTTCCCCTGGCGGGTGGCGGCGTGCGTTCCCCTGGCTGCTCTTCCCGGCTCTCTTCCCTCTTTAATAATGTTGAACTAAACATTGTGTATAACTTTTCATCCACCTAGTGCTTTGCTTAAAAATTCTTGAAGGTAGAATTGCTTACTTATATAAAGTATTTGATTAAAATGCATGCTTTATTTAAAAAAGCATTTTTAAGGCTTTCGATAAGTACTTCTGGACTGTATAGATATTTACCTTCTCACTGGACAGCGTCCCTCACTCTTCTCTCATTCTTAGTGGTTTATCTTTTTTCAGACTTTGGCTTAAGAAAACATGTTTGTTGTTAGGAATTCTGTATAATTTTTTTCTGCTTATCATGGGAGACTTAATGAATTTTATACTTTAGTTCCTTATATATTGAGAATTTCAAACATGTATACATTTGATTTACTGTTGTTTTCCCCCTTTATCTTATAATTGATATTTTAAACACAAAATCCATATTTTTTATTATTACCAAATCTCAGAACAGTTTTCTTTATTTTTATTATTGTTTGTAACAGTTAAAAGTGTACGGGAAAGAGATGTGTGTTTGCCTATAAGTACACATACACACACATTTTAAATAGTGTGTTCAAAGTTTAGTTTTTATACATTCTTTCATTTACATGGAATTTATTTTGTTGATTAGTGTAAGTTGTGAGTAGATGTGTCAACAGTCAACATGAATTTGAAATATAGGCTCTTCCAAGGGTAAGCTAGATCATAAAAAATATTGGAGACTTTTTGTTTGTCTAATTTGGGAAGAATTACATCTTACAAATCTTGACATATTTTCCAGGGTTGACATGAAGAACAATCGATTTCGGAAAGATATGATGAAAAATGCAAATGAAACGAAACTTTCAAAAGACAAACTTCAGAAGAGACTTAAAGAAGAGTAAGTGCTTTTTAAATGTGATTGCCCATCTTTCTCTCTCTCACTGACGCTGAGGTGGAACTGACTCATAGCTGACCCTTCAACAGGTTTCCAGAGACTGTCAGTCCCACAGGTGAAAATTGCGCATCTGTCTTCTGCAGAGCTGTCTAGTGAGTGCAAACCACCTGAGAAGCATGGTCTTTGGGTCAGTAGTACAATGCCTAGAGATGGTGCCATCAGAACTCAGCATTGGGTATTTATAATCCAAGAAGCTCTGTGGTGCAGTGGTTCTATGCTTAGTTCTAATGGAAAGATTAGTAGTTCAAATCCCCCCAGTGCCATTGTGGAAGAAAATACCTAATTTACTCTTTACATGATTAAGAGTTTAGGAAACAGTATGGTGGCAATTCTGTTGGGGCTCATATATAGTTGCTGTGAATCAGAATCACCTTGATAGCCCACTGCAACAACATTTATAATTAGTTGTTTTGGTTGTGCAGTTTTTGGTGGTAACAGATTGATAATTGGGTTTTTCTTAAAACAGTAAAAACATTGGTGTAGGATGAACTGGCTAAATGGCATTCATTCTTTTTTGGGAGGTGAGAGAATGCACCAGGCACGAAGGAAATTTAGGGGAAAATCTTTTGTGTAAGTTATTCACTCAGATACAGAATGTGCTACATAGCATCTGTTTGGGGATTGCCCTTGTATATGTGTACAAGGTCCCATAAGGCTATGATGTTCAGAAATCCCAATTAGAGAATGAGACAAAGTGAACCCAAAGACTTCCCACATATAACATGTTTGTCATGTTAACATGCTTCTACATTACATGTATAATCCATAATACATGTCTTGAAAATCATAATAGACATGTTGCCTGGCTTATGTGTGTGTATAGATGTATACTTCGATCTAGTTTACTGTTTAATAGATTGCACTTCAACTCCTAGGCTGCAGTGTCAAGTCTCATCCCGTGTCTCTTTAGTATTGTTATGTGTCTTCAAGTGGGAACCAACCCATACTTGATCCTACAGTGGGGTTTCAGAGGCCATAAATTGCACAGGAGGAGATTATCCATCCTCTTCCAGTAGAGCAGCTAGTGGGTTTGAACCTCATACCTTTAGAATTGCAGCACAGTTTTTTAGAATGAGTTTTTTACCACCAGAGCTCCCTTCAGTTTTGTAGCGTTCTCGTTTCATTTAATTTTCCTTCAGAAATGGTGCTGTAAGGTGTGTCATTAACTGCTAGACAGCAGAACCCTTCCATGTGATAGCAGCAAGAGGCAAAGGAAAATCATCGGTTTGGTTAGTAATTGCAAAAGGTTACTAAGGAAGATGAAAAGCAGAAGCAAGTATAAAAGCAAATTTACTAATTTATATGAAAGTGGAAAATTAGTGAATATTGTAGCCTATGATTTATGTGTATTGCACTAGGCAGTCCTCAGGAACAAAAAATTTCTTTAAGCTATTCGAAGATCCGTTCTACTGAAAGGGATAAAACTAAAGAAAACATGAGAGGAATGTAGATCTGATGTGGAGAAATTGCTCATGATATAGACTGAGGATCAAATACAAAAGTGAATTCCTCTCAGTACCGTAATGAGCCCTGCTAGTGCTTGAAGCTGTTAGAAATGTTGAATAAAAAAGTTGAATCAAATTTATAGTGTTCTCACGTTGACTAGATGATGTGCTCTTTGAGAGATCATTTTCTGGACAGTCAGTAATGTATAGATTATAAAGTGATAATATTGTTAATTTGTATTTAGTAAATTAAAGTTTTCCTACTTTTAAATAAAAGTTTAAAAAGCCCTTAACTGGGCTAAAAGAATTTTTTTAAAATTTATTTTATTATTTGTGTGTGTGCGTGTACCGTCAAATCAGATCTGACTGATACAGGAGGAGATTGTCCCTCCTTCTCCAGCAGAGCATCTGGTGGATTCGAACCACGTGCCTCAGGGATTGCAGTGCAGCTTGTTGCCATTAGGCCACCAGAGTTCCCTTTTAATGAATTTTTTTTAAAGTATTCTTCTGTGTTTGCTTTATATGTGTGAGTTTGACATGTGTGTACCCAATCTGTTTTAAAGTACAGACAGCAGAATACTTCTGAATTCCTTGATGTATCTAAAATAAAGGATATTTTCCTTCATATCCGTAATAACATTGTCACACTTAACAAGATTAATGTCTAATTGACCAGTCCATATTTTTTCTAAATCTCTTATACTTCATGCATTTATATTTGAATTTGGTAGTTTTTGTACATTCTTACCCAATGTAATTTTATCTCAGACTACTTCTATAATGTATTTTAACTACTATAGCAAGAATTTAGAACCATGATATAGAGTGAGTTGATAAGAGTAAATAAGAGAGCTATGTATCTAGACATAAGTATTGAGTATATAGGACTACTCCAGATGGTCAGATGTTACTAAATAGGCAAACTGAGAATGTTCTGTGTGTGGTCTTTCTGTTCTTATAAATAGTATCATTTTTAGAAAATACTGTATCTGTTTCCAAGGATTTTATAGCTTATACTCCTTAAAAAGATTATAAAATGGGTTGGTTTTTTTCTTTCACTTAGGTTTCAGCATGCTATGGGGGGAGTACCTGCCTGGGCAGAGACTAGCAGGAGGAAAACATCTTCAGATGGTGAGTGTCAGTGTCTCCACTTCAGTTAACTAAATACATTCCTACTTCTGTCATTTGAATTTTCTTGTGAGGTTCATTAAAACCTGGTTTTTTAAATATGTCTGGTTTTACATCTACCATTTCTCTGAGAGAAACCTTTTTTATCAGTTGTGTTGTTGGTAATAAGGGTGGGTGGATTTTATGATACTTCTTCCTAACAATAGACCTACATTGTATTAAGGATTAAACATAGAGTTAAGGAAAAATGGTTGTTTTATTAGTCTTTGATCATGAAGCTGTTGATAGCTAATCTGGATATCTGTTAGGAAATTATTACCAGTAATTTTTAAGAGTAGAGCATCTGTAGAACTGTAACGTTTTAGGTCACTGTAATTATGGGTAAGGTTAGGCTAGCTGTCGAAAAAGAAAAAGCCCCAGGTACCTGCTCTATAAAAGTTGTTTTATGCTCTTAAAATCGGGGTGTGCTCTGTTTCAGGATTCAGATTTATAGAGGTTATGCCATTTTCAGGCTGAGTCTTCAAAATTGCTGGCATTTTGACAGTAGTGGGCTAAGGGATGAGAGAGGCCACCCAAAGGAGATTTTTTATGGGTCTGTTTTAGAAGTGATAAATATCAGGCTTCTCTCCTCCATATTTCCTTTCAGGGAGGGAAGTCTGTCCCTTTGTTGCTGTAACTTTCCAATAAATCTATCTTTACTATTTTACTCTTTAAAAAAAAAAAAGAAATGCTAAATACCACTCACATTTTGTTGGCCAGACCTTAGTTACAAGATCAGACTAAGTTTGTCTTTGTGCCCAGGATGAAAAGAAATTAATTTTTTCAATGATTAGCTGCTTCATTATTGCTTATAATATTTTAGTCTCATACCTTTATTTTACAAATGTGGAAAGTAAAGTACAAAGAAATAAAATGACCTGTCAAAAATAAACTACTTTTTGGTTTCAAACTGGTATTTCACTATCATTTTTGTTTTTTAATCTGTAAATGCTTCATTATCTTTGAAACAATTATTCCCGTTAAACATTATCTCTCTCCGTGTCCCTCTCCCTCTTCCTGTCTCATCTCTGTCTCACTCACTCACGTACACCTGCCCCTCCTCCCCCTAAAATACCCCACAGTGAGGCTTCTTCAGGTCTTGGGATGGTTTGTGGTTTCTGTTGCTGTTTGTTTACCATCACCTTCTTTTTTTTTTTTATACTATCACCTTTTTTTGTTTTTGTTTTCTTCGTGCTTTGAAATCTGGCTTTGATGTCTTTTGTCATTTTGGAAATTCTTGACTTTTATTGTTTCTGTTCTGTCTTCTTTCCTAATGGGATATTAGTTCCATGTATGCTGAATGTTTTTAACCTATTCTGTATTCTGTATTTGCTAATCTTTTCTGATCTACTTTCTGTGCCACTAATTCAGTCTTACACCAGACAAGGATGGGCAGTCTCCTCCTGGGCGTTGGTTCCAACTCGACTGTACATAACAACAATGTGGTCTTCAGCTAATTTATGCTATTGAAACTGTCCTTCTAGGTTTTATTTGTTCTATTTCTCAGTTCTAGAATTTCTAGTTTTTTTGAGTGTTTTTGAAGTTTTTAGTTCTCTAGTGAGTTGTCCTTGTGTCATGAATGGGTGAATTTTTGGCTGCTACCTGAAAGGTTGGCAGTTCATGGAGTGCTAATCATCACATATGAAGGAACTATGTTGGTTAATTAGAATTTTAGGATTATATTCTCCAGAGGATATTTTTTTCTGGTATGCCGGTATCTAGGCAAGAGGGACTAGCAGTCCCACAATTTCTTAATCCAATAATGCATTGGTTGTGATGATTTAAAGTTAGGTTTCAATTGCTGGAATATTTTTTAAAAATTCTTTAGATTTCACTCTTTTTAAAATTTTTATTATTATCATTAATTTTAATGAAAATTTACAGAGACTTTGGATTTCCATTTATTCATTGTTGCACTTTTCTCCCGGCTCCTTCCTCCCTCTGCTCCCCAGTAAACTCTTCTCTTTGAAAAGTAAAAGAAAAATTCTTTCATTTCTTTCATTGTTTTACAATCCCTTCCCGAGGTCCACTCCCTATTCAGCCTTCATTCTGGACTCCTCTCATGACAATAATACCTAATCATATATCCCTTTTAAACAGTTCTCTTCCTCATCTGTTTCAATGCAGTATATATTATTTACCCCATCCTTCTCAGTCTCCCCCCAACCCTGATGTCCTGTTTTACAACAGTGGCACTATGCAGTATTTGTCCTTTTGTGACTGAGATATTTCACTCAGCATAATATCCTCCAGGTTCACCCCCTTTGAATATTATTTCATGTGTTCCTTGTTTTTCAATGCAGTGTAGTATTCCATTATGTGAATATACCCCAGCTTCTCTATCTATTCGTTTGTTGATGGGTGCTTAGATTGTTTCCAACTCCTTGCTATTGTGAACAAAGCCGTGATAAACATGGGTGTGCATATATCTGCTTGGGTGATGGTTGCAATTTCTTTGGAGTATATTCCCAGTAGTAGAATTGCTGGGTCAAATGGTATTTCTATTTGCAACTTTTTGAGAAAGCACCACACCACCTTCCACAGTGGTTGCACCTAGATTTCACTCTTAATGTGCAGAGTATTGTGTTTTGCTATCCCAGTAGAAAGTGTGAACTGAGAGGGCCTCCCAGCTCTTAAGTTTTGCCTTTTAATTTCATGAGTCTTCTAAAAACTCTGTTCAGCTTCTCTACTAAAATGAATAGTGATCTCTAGGGAGAGGCTGCTCTCTTAGCGCCCTTTGACCTTACGATCACTGTGTGTTGACATTGAGCTTCCAGTCACCTAGTACAGGTTGTAGTTCTTTTCTCGTGTGAGTTGTCAAGCTTAATCTGCTATCTCCACCATTTCCAGTTTGCTGTGGTTAAGTGCTGGTCTTTTAAAATGAAATGCTGTCTTGCTTAATCTTGCTTTAGTTGGTGCTGGAGTCAAGTTTTACTTTTAACCATTTTTGTTGAACTCTTTATTATCTTATTTTCTTGGTTTCAAATACATTTTGCTGCTTGGTTTTTACTCATTGTATCTTTTTTAAGAAGTGAGGCTGGAAGGGAAGTTAAAGTTTGAAATAATGGAGATTTGGGGTAGAAAAGGGGCAATGTCAATGATTCTAAAGATTAATCTTGTGGGTTTATTTGACTTAGATGAGAGTGAAGATGATGAAGATGACTTGTTGCAAAGGACTGGGAATTTCCTATCTACGTCAGCTTCTCTTCCAAAAGGAATCTTAAAGGTGAGAGTCAGCGAAGTTGAGATCTGTTCAACTTCTTATTTGGAAATCTAGTCTGGTACCCAGTATGAATTCTTGTTATCTATGGGGTTTGTTATTGTCCATGTGTGTTGAGTTTGTGTGTGTGTGTGTGTGTGTGAGAGAGAGAGAGAAAATGATTGAGGTGTTATATATCTAGGAATTATATTTGATTTCTCCTGTTGCATTTCTAGAATTTCTAGTCCCACTCTTCTGATGGTCTGAGGCCACCATCAGTCACGTAACACACTGCGTTAGCTCTATAATTTGGTTTCCTCACTTTGACGTTTTGATTCTCCTCAGCCCATTTTTTTGGATAGTAGTCAGAGGGATCTTTTAAAAACAAAGCACCAGATCATGCCACTTTTCATTTCTTTAGGAAGCTTCTGTCTCCTTTATCATAGCCTTTACTGCCTTTCGTAATCTGACTTCTGCCTGTGTCTTCAGCCACATTTCAGGCCTCTCTTGTTTTTCTACTTGAGGCTCTCCAATCTTCCTTCTTTTTCCTGCCTCTGAATCTACGCTTTAGCTGTTCCTTCTTCCTGACCTTCAAGCACTGCTTCTGGCTGCCTCGTTCTTACCTTTCCCTTGAGGTAGCACTTTGAGAAATGCCTCTCCAGGACATCGTATTTAAATAGCCTATACTAGATTTTCTCTAACTTAGCACTATTCCAGCTTGTTCATCATAGTATCCAAGGGCCTACTTTACATGTCCATCAGTTAATTATTTATCAGATGCACAGATTTCTCTATGTGACAGGTAGTTTCTCCTATTATAAAATGATGGCTTGTGTGCTTATGTGGGAAGAGAACCAGCTTTTTAAAATTATTCCATCCATTCCTACATTATGAGGATAATTTATTCAGCTTTTCAGGATTAATTAATCTTCATTGACAGTGTAATTATAAAAATTTTATTTCATTGGTAAAATGTCCATACGCAGACATTCACACACAAATGTTTATATGTAATATTTCCCATTTATACATAAAATTTTATTGCAGGGAAAATTCCTAAAACCAAAACAAATACTTGAATATAGTCCAAATGATGCATAGGATTATCATTGCTTAAACTGACAACTGTGTCCCTTAAGAGGAGAGTGCAGGCACCCCTAACCATATCTGTAACCTTAGCAATGATCTCACAGGGGCCCTTCTTGGGTACCAGGGCTGCCAGTATTCCAAAGAATTTGCAGTAAAATTCCCATGGAAGTCCTCATCTCTTTAGATAAGTGTGTCTTGGTGAAATGACTACTGTTTTTTTACTTTTCCTAAATTTATTTTGTTGTTGAGGATACACAACAAAACATATCAATCCAGCACTTTCAGCATGTACAATTTAGTGACATTGATTATGCCAGTGTTTAAGAATGCTTATTAATAAACCTACACTTCTGGACATGGGAAGGACTTTAAACTCATTCAGTCTTTTAAGTTGACAGATGAAGGGAAGTGAAATCTTCTGTAGAAAAGTGACTTCTTTCTTGGTTCCAAATCTGGAATCTTCTGATTGCCATTCCATTGCATACTCTTCTGCATTATAAACAAGTTTCTACTAGCTCTTCAGGGTCTAAAGAAAATCTGGTAATCCTTTTGAATTGGTACAGTTCTGGCTTTGTTTTTTTTTAATAGATGAAGAACTGCCAGCCCGCCAATGCTGAACGTCCCACTACTGCTCGCATCTCGTCTGTGCAGTTCCATCCTTGTGCTCAGGTTGTGATGGTTGCTGGGTTGGACAACTCTGTTTCACTGTTTCAGGTGTGTATTTTAAATAAGTTAGAGTTGTTTAATATCATAATATGACATCCATAGAAATCACCAAGAGAAACATTTTTTACTTCCTTGATAGGTTGATGGAAAAACAAATCCTAAAATCCAGAGCATCTATTTGGAAAAATTTCCAGTCTATAAAGCTTGTTTTAGTGCGAATGGAGAAGAAGTTCTAGCTACAAGTACCCATAGCAAAGTTCTTTATGTCTATGATATGTTGGCCGGAAAGTTAATTCCTGTGCATCAAGTGAGAGGTAAGTTTACTGTTGAACACATAGCCAGTTATTCAGTGAGAGGTAAGTTTTCTGTTGAACACATAGCCAGTTATTCTTGTAACCCAATATGAGTTAATTTAACATATGTATAACCACCTTGATGTTGTGTTGTTGAAGTAATATATTTGAATAAAACCATTATATGTTTGAATGAAACTATTGTATATTTGAATGAAACTTGTTGTTTTATGTACTGTTAGAGTTAGAATCAATTCATAGCTGATCTTCAATGAGTTTTCTGAGGCCATAAATTATAGAAGAGGAGATTGTCCATTTTCTCTTCTTTGAAGCAGCTAGTGTATTTGAACCATCTACCTTTGAGTTGGAGTGCAACTCTTTACCACTAGGCCATCAGCGCTCCTTGAAACTTATTCAGCACTTACTATAGAAAGGTCTTAATTTGGATTTATATGTCCCCTCAGTTCAGAAAAGCAGTTACAAATCCTTGGTTTGAAAAGTATCAGTATAAATAGAGCAAGAAAAATGTGAGCTGGGGTTTTATAAGCCTCTAATTTTGCTTTTTTTGGACAGCCTCTCTGGTCTTTGAGATCTTTGTACATACTCTAGTTTTAGTGTTTTATAATAGGACATCATTTTGAGTCCTTTGGAAACCAAAACCCTTATAATGAGATTGACTGGTCGAATGTTATAAATCTTGGGATGCAGTATTGACATATACCACAGTTCTCTGGTATTGTGAGGTTGTAAAGGACATGGGTAGCTTTGAACAACTATTGGTCTGTTCGTGGAAGAAATAATCACTAGTAGAAAATTAATAAAGCTAACTAGAAATACTTGTAATGTTTATGTTTATTATTTTTAGTCTTTTTTCCTGTATTTTTTGACATTTTTAATAAGCCCTTTGAAATAGTTGCTGATTTTATCTAAAAATCATGTTTCAAACCAGTATGTTTCAAATTTTAATGTGCACACGAATCTCTTTGAGATCTCCTTAAAATGCAATTCTGGGTAAGTAGGTCTGTGGTGGGCATGTAGTCTTGAATTTCTAATGTGCTCATAGGTGATGCTGATGCTAGTTCTTTTTTTTTTTTTTTTTTTTAAGTATATGTGCTGCCGAAGCGAGCACTGATGCTAGTTCTTGAATCTCTCTTGTAGTTGAAAAGGCTGAAACTAGTTTCCCCATATTGGAACAGTAATATATGGCCTTTTTAAAGATGTTGTTTTTAAACATTATTTTACTAGTCAAGAGGAATGAGTTAGGAGACTAACTCATTTTAATGCCATAAAATTTTATGTCTAAGGCCATAAAACAAAATCTTTGTGACTAACTGAATGGAAAACCAGTTGCTCTGTAAATTTTCACTGAAAGCATAATAAACAATGTTACAACATCCCAAAGTAAAAACTATAACAAAAAAACAAAGGAATGGGCTATGCTCTTTCTTTATCTTTTATCCACTTGGGAAAGACAGATCAGTGGTTGATGAAGACCCAGGTCAGCGAATCTTGCCTGAATGCTTGGTGTGTAGGACTATGTACCAGCTTCTTTGAACCATGATATTCATCTTTCCCTCATCTTATCCTGTCTCCTTTTTCCTTCTCATGCATAATTTGAAATAATGATCAATAACCAACCACCCAAGCCACTGCCATTGAGTTTGTCCAACTCATAGGGAACCTCTGTTTCCTGTCTGTCAACCTTAGATGACTGCCTGCCACTCTTTTGTGGGATGGTCGTTGGGTTCAGACTGCTGACCTAAAAAAGTTAGCACTTTAGTATAAAACGTTACACACTGTGTCACCAGGGCTCCTTGGTAATTATAATCACAATGATGATGGAATTGTTGTTGTTATGTGCCATTGAGTTGCTTGCGACTCATAGCGACCCTGTGTACAACAGCCCTAAACTCTGCTCTGTCCTGTGCCAGTTGCACTGTCTCTGACACACCCATCCCGATTATCCCAGTCACTGAATCAATCCACCTCAGAGAGGGCCTTCCCCTCCTGCACTGTCCCTCCAACCTCCCAAGCATGATTTCCTTCTCCAAGGACCGGTCTCTCCTCACAACATGTCCAAAGTATGTTAGACGGAGCCTCAGAATCCTTGCCTCTAAGGAGCCACCCGGTTTAATTCTTTCCAGGATGAATCTGTTTGTTTTCCTAGCAGTCCATGGTATTCTCAATACTCTTCTCCAGCACCACAGCTCAAAGGCATCAATTCTCCTTCT